TACCCGCCACCTTTCCTAGGCTCCCCTCCTGCCCCCTCCCCGCTCCTCCTCGCCTCAGACTCCCTCCCCCCTCACGTCCGCCCTCTGCCTTCGCCTACCCAAGTGGATTAATTATAAGCTTTCTGTTTCTCTCAGTGCTGTCCTCTCCCGCTGTGAGCCTACCCGCCTCTCGCTGTCCTTTCTTCCTCTTTCCCTCTCTGTGGTCCCCCCCGTTTCACGTTCACTCTGTCTCTCTCACTATCTCTGCCCCCCCACTATCCTTGATACAACAGCTGACCTCATTTCCCGATACCTTTTCCCCCCCAAAGTACAATATCTGGCCCGCCCCAGCCCTAAGACAGCCCATCCTCCCTAAAGAAGCAGAAGAGACGTCGTCCCCCCCCCCCACCAAAAAAGCCATCCCCCCGTTCTGGCCCGTCGCACATTCGGCCCCCGCGACTGGGTCGGAGCGGCGCTGGCAGAGGAGTGCCCGGCAGAGGGGCCTTCGCCCGCTCTTCGGTTTGCAAACACGCAGCAGGGAGATTGGGTGGTAACTTCGCCGGCTTCCAGGTAAGGGCTCTCAGGGGCCCCAGACGGGTGCGCAGGGCCCAGCCTGGGCTTGGCGGGACTGGGGCGGCCGGGGGTGGGGGCTGGGGACCCGTTCCCTGTGCAAACTGGCTCTCCCCGTTGCGCCGTGAGGTGGGGGAGGGGGCAGGGGTATGAGGACTGGTGGGGAGGGGGTGTGTAAGTTGAACTCACTGGAGATTTCTGGTCCTTTGGTGCGTGTTGGGGAGGGGGAGTAAGCTGCTTTAAAATGTATGACTGGTGTTGTTCAGGCCCTGTCCCCGCAGGGTGCTGAGTGATGAGGAGGGGGGCAGAGTCTCCAAAGCCCACCCTGGTATGTTGACTTGGTGCCAATGAGACTGAGAGAGGAATAGCGGGTGGGCGGGGCTAGAGCCCCCCCCAAAATTGGCAAAGGAGTCAGGCCAGATGCCACAGTTCGCTGCCCCCCCACACACACACATGCACACCCCAACTCTGTCCCCAACATTCTCAACCTAGAATGTAGGGAGAGGGGCCAGTTTCGGGCTTAGAAGGGCAGAAATGTTACAGTCCAAAGAGGAATAACTGCCCCTGCCTTTTACTGGGTGGAACTTTCCATAGGAGGATGTGGGAAGGAGCCCCCTCCCCGCCCCCATGAGTCTGTGCAGAGAGGGCTGGGGGCGCACGATGAGGCCCCCCCTCCCACTGGTGGTGCTTTGCTAAGGAATGGTCCAAGGCTAGCTGTTGGGGGGGTGCAGGAGTGAAGGGACTGGCTGGAAGGAGGGAGGGGGCGGGTGCAAAGGGGGCGGGGGGAGTGGTCAGTAGGGAGGGGGGTGGGGGGTAGGGTGGAGCCGGGACTGGGAGGAGCCGACTCAGACATAAAAGCCGAGGCACTGACCAGCTCGCAAACTGGACATTAGCTTCTCCTGTGAGAGCCTTCCAGCCTTCTCCTGCCTTCCACCTCTTGCAGCCCTCGCGGCCTCCTTATCCAACTCCAGGTAACCAGGGCCGTGGAGCCAGAACCCTGCTGCCATCCCGCTCCGGCCTGCCCCATGCGGTGGTCAGGGCATCGGCTAGCCTGGGGCCTCTGCCCTTGCAGCGGGGCCTGCTGCCTCTCACAAGCCTTCGTCCTCCTTCGGCCTCTCCTGTGCTCCGCCTGGCCCCAAGCTTCCTCACCTGCTCCGTTCTCTCCTTTTTCCTTTCCCTCCGCCTGCCCCTTCCAGCAAATTTGGGCCTTCCCTGGGCCCTCACCTATCCCTTGGTCAGTCTCCTGCTTGCTTCTGCTGGCCACCTGGGCTGGACCTGGAGCCATTGTGATCTGGCTTTGGGAAGGGACTTCGAGGTCAGCTCCGTCTCCCCATCCCCCACCCGCACCCCCAGGACTAATTGTTGCAGCTGATTGCAAGGCGGTGGTCGTGGCATAAAGGGTGTTAGGCGGGCGGTCTGGCTCTTGTAGAAGAGGTGGGCAAAGGTGACTTTTAGTTACCCGAGGGAGCTCAAACAAGTTTGTTTCTTGACTGTACCGCATTGGTCTCTCACATGTCTTCTTTGCAGCAAGAAATCCTCTGGGCCTGTGGAGCAGAGGCTTTGTACCGCAGTCTGGAGGGCATTACTTTCTTCAGGGTCAAGGGTGGCTTACTTTGGGCGGTGGTGGCCTCTCATCTCTAAAGAAAACCATTGCCCCAGCCTGTGACCACACGATTTGTGGCCCGTGGAGGGGGTGTGTCCCTCCAGACTGAAGTGTTCAGCCTCTCCGGGACCCAACTGCTGTCTCTAGTGCCCTGGGTAGAATTTAGTTCCTACCAGAAAGATGATCCTGTGGGCCATAGAGGGACTCTCTAGGGTCGCTGACCCTGGTCAGTAACGGTTGAGACCTGGGGTGGGACTTTAGGCTTTCTCTTGAGCTCTGAGGTGCCTAGGGAAGTCTGGACTTGGAGGGCTGGGTGACCCTGGAGAGCAAGGCTCACAGGAGTGCCAGCAGTCCCGTTGCGCTAACCATTGGATTCTTGGCTTGAGCCTTGCTCAGCATGGCCTGGGAGTGGGGGTTGGATGGGTGGAGGTGTCTCTGCTGCTTAGGGAGGGGTGGCCAGCTTAGGGGGGGCAGGGAGGTTGGCGACTGGTCCCTTTGGATGCACATGCTCCATGGTGGGTGGGGTGGAGCTGTCTGCCATCTTGGCCAGTGCTTGGAGGCCAGAGTAGGAGTGGCAATGGTGATGGGCCCTTGGGCTGGCCCCACCCCCATGATGTCATCACTTGGAAACCAGGTCCAGTGTCCAGCGCTGGCCCCTGCTGCTGTGGGTGTGGTCAAGCTGCAATCGCGCCTATGGGTGGGTGGTCCTCCAGGGTTTCTTACAGTTCAAAGCCACCACGCGGTGCCTTCCCGGGCTCCGTTGAGTTTCTTCACAGGCAAGTGGTCTTTGACCTCAGCCATTCAAGGGCTCCCTCCCGTCTTCTGCAGGTCAAATACAGAATGTGCAAGCTGCCTTTCTAATTTAATTGCGTTTTCGATTAAGAGATGATAGGTGTCTTTGGTGGAGAGGAGCATCTTGGGACCAGGGGCCCCTCACTCAAAGCCTGCATCTCTTTTTTCCAGATACCAATGGGGACCCCAGTGGGGAAGTCGATGTTGGTGCTTCTGGTCTCCTTGGCCTTCGCCTGGTGCTGCATTGCTGCTTACCGCCCCAGCGAGACCCTGTGCGGTGGGGAGCTTGTTGACACGCTTCAGTTTGTCTGTTCGGACCGCGGCTTTTACTTCAGTAAGTCACTCCGGAGAGGTGGGGTGGGGGGAGGGGGAGGGGGAGGGCCAGGCCTCCCTGGGTGTACATGCAGTTTGAGGTGGCGGGGTGGGGGGCGGGGGTGGGGCGGGACAAGGGAAGAGCCAGACCTTGACCATCCACATTCAGGGGTGCTTATCTGCTTTCAATATTGCTCACACTTCTCTTAATTTCCCAGCCTGGGGGGGCTGGGCATGGGCTCCCTGCTTACAGAAGATGGGGGCACCCAGGTGGGGCATGCCTGGGCGGGCAGGGGCACCAGAATGGATGACTCTCCTTGCTGGCATGGGCCCTTCTATCTTCCTCACCTGGTCCTGGACACGCGGCCTGCCTCCTCCTCTGCACCTCTACCTACCTGCCTGTGAACTGCTCTGAGTATCCTCCCACTTCACACTCTGGAAACTGCTCCTGCTCCTGGGCACTCTGAAACCCTCTGGCACTGCAGGGCCAGCCCTTGCTCAGGGAGCCACTCCTGCACAGAGAGGCTTCCAGAATAGGAGGGTCCAAGGTGGAGCCTTCAGTGGCTCTACCCCTCAGCCTAGCCTCGGACCTGCATATGTGGGGGAGAGGGGAAAGACGGGAGAAGAGAAGGGAGTGGATTTTGGGTACCTCACTCCTCCCCTCCCGTCTTGTTCTCTCCTGCCCTATCTTCCCTGTCTCAGCTCAGTGCTGGGGGGGGGGGGTTAGGGGTGGGCCCCTCAGGCTTAAGGTGGCACCAGGCCAGGACCCCAAGTCCAGGGACCACACCTGTGTCCACCATAGCCCCCTTGTGGGGCTCACCCTCTCCTCCCTGTTTTCCAAACTACTCCAGTGTGGCCTCTGGTCTCCATGGAGTTTGTGGGCTGTACCATGTTAATTGCCAGGCAGGAGGCACTAGAGGCCAGGGGCTGGTCCTGCAGCATGCACCTTTATTTCTCCTTTCTGGGCACCTTGGCTCACCTGGCTCACACTTCTACCTCAACCCTGCAGGGTGACCTAGTATGGGAGCAGGGCCTGGTGGGAGGGCAGAGGTAGTTACTTCCTTCTGTAGCCTTCCCTTGGGGAGCTGGGGAGGCCACCCCAATGGGTGCTGCCCCCAGCTGATGATGACTAAAGATCTCTGTCCTGTGGAACTTCCAGGCAGGCCTTCAAGCCGTGCCAACCACCGTCGCAGCCGTGGCATCGTGGAAGAATGTTGCTTCCGCCGCTGTGACCTGGCCCTCCTGGAGACATACTGTGCCACCCCCGCTAAGTCTGAGAGGGACGTGTCAACTTCTCTGGCCGTGCTTCCGGTGAGGCTCGGGACAGGGAAAATTTTTAGGTAGCGGGGTGGGGTTGAGAGAATGGTGGGGGTGGGGCAAGGAGACCATCAGCTTCTTGATTTGGGGTGTTACGGAGTCCACTCACATTTTATTATTGGCCTCTGCCCACAAACATAGATGTTTGTGGGGAGTTGTCATGAGCTGGTGTGACTCTGGGGGGGTGGGGGTGGGGGCGTGAGAGACCTGGCTGGATCCTCAGGCTAACGTGCTACCCTGACACCTGCTGACTAGCGCCTCCTCTTAAGGACGACTTCCCCAGATACCCCGTGGGCAAGTTTTTCCAATATGACACCTGGAGACAGTCCTTCCAACGACTGCGCAGAGGCCTGCCTGCCCTCCTGCGTGCCCGCCGGGGTCGCATGCTCGCCAGAGAGCTCGAAGCGTTCAGAGAGGCCAAGCGTCACCGTCCCCTGATCGCCTTACCACCCATCGGTCCCGCCCACGGGGGAGCCTCTTCGGAGATGTCCAGCAGTCATCAGTGAACCAAATTGTTTGGTAATTCTGCAATGTAACACCATCACTCTGTGGCCTCCTCTTGAGCAGGGACAGTTCCATCATGTCCCACACTAAGATCTCTCTGCTCCACTTCCTTCCCTAGGCTTCCCCCCACCTCCCCCCATGCCCCGCCTCCCCACATCAGGCTACTTTGCCCCACACCATCGGGCAAACAAAACCAAATCAATTGGCTCTAAACAACTAAACCAAATTGGCTCTAAAGAACCCAAAAAGTTGACACCCCCCAAATAATTCTAAAAAAAAAAATCTTTAAACAAATTGCCCCTTTAAAACAAATTGGCTTTTTAGAAACACCAGAACCATTAATTTAAAAATTAATTAACAAAAGAAATCAATTGGCTAAAAACAAACTAAAAATTAGCTTAAAAACAATTGGCAAAATAAAATAATTCGGCCCCCCCCTCCTCTTCTTCCCATTTGGATCTTTAGTCAAATTGGCTTAGACTTGGATCTCAGAACCCAAGAAGAAAGGAAGGGGACCCGAAACTCTTCAGGTGGCATGTCATGCTTCAGTGCCCTCTCCTTGTCACCACTCAGATAGGGTGCTTTAGCTTAAGCTGGCTGAGAACAACAAAGGCCACCCAAACTCTTTCTTCACTGGCCATTCCATCACAAATGTCATCATGTCACCACAGGGCTGGGTGAGAGAACCCAAGGAAAGGAACAGAGTATGAAAACTGGAAACAAAACTTAATTGGCACAAGCCCCCAAGTTCCAAAAATCTTACTTATCTGTACTACCTAAAAAGCACTTTTATACTCATCCCTGCAGACACACAGACATGCACGCATGCACACACACACACACACACACACACACACA